AAATTTACACGACTCAGACTACTTTCAAACGCATGTTCAGAAGATATTTTCGGAGTCGCTCGTGTGCCATCTACTAAGCGTTGTTGACATCGATCGGACATACTCCGCATCATACCAACAGCAACCTAAGATACTCCTCTACCTCAGTTTCTGACGACTCACTAGAATAGTTATTCTGTTTCTCCAACATACCACCATATATGTTCCACTGCTATATTCTTCACTAAAAAACAAAAATGGTTAATATGAATCGCTTCGCTCCGCTATGAATCGAAAATTTGGTATTCATGAGTCGCTTCGCTCCGCTGTGAGTTCATTATTAATTCGATCTCAGTGTTCGTCTCGCCTGATGTGGGGGAGGAAAGATACTCTCGAGGTCCGGAGGCCTGCCACTGCTGTAGCAGGTAAGACCATGAGGTGTCCGGTCATTCGAACCTTAGGGCTGGTTATAGATCCCCCTAAGCGAAGTTATGGTATCCAGAGGTTGCCTTGGCAAGATATAAAAGAGGTCCGAAAGAGGACATCTGAAGTTTGCAAGCTACGGTCGATGACGAAAGCGACCGAAATAGATAACAGTGAGTATTGCCCTTGCTATCATAATATTCGAAACTGTACTTGTCCGAGTAGTGAAGTAGATTATAAGTTTCAGCAGTGGTCCTGTGACTCTACTGCCATCGCTTGAAACGCCTCTGAGATCCATCGATGCTTAACAACTTCGCTGTTGATGACGACTGTTTGAGTATTCATTAAAGTAATTGTGAAACTCAGCATCTATTGATTTTAATTCCTACAATGATTTTCGAATTACCCCAGAGCTTCCGAATGAGTTCATTGAAGAACCCTATAATGTTGCCCTCTACCCGATAAACTAATTATGGACATCATAGTCGATTCTACTATGGTGCCCAACCTACGACGACAATTACTGTAGACGATCTGCTTTTGAGTAAGAAATGTTCAATAAACTCAAAATGAATTCGCGAACCGCACAGATATCAATTCCAGAATTCATTCGCCTTAGGCGCACGACCGAGGCCCAGGACGACTACGGGCTTCTCCGACTGTGACGGTCGTAATGGCAAGAACCTTGCTGTAGTTGATGATAGTCGTCGTGAGATCCGAAGAACGATCGAACGGAGTACGTACAAGAGGCCTCCTTCAAGGAAAGACAGCGCTGCTGCTGGGGTAGGCTGTTGTGAACCTTCTTACTATCAATACCATTTTTATTGCTATTATTATTATCACCATTATCATCATCACTTTTCAGCTGTTTACTACGGAGAGAATCACCGACGCCTTGGAGCGTGATACAAAACATGTCCAATTAGCAGTCGAATCTCGCGCGACATTAACTAGCAGGCCCCCCAGTCGTCGTGGATATTCAGCGAGGCGGAGCAGCAATGATCCGTTTCTGGCCTCAGGGGTAACTGACCCCTCGAGTTCGCATTTTTGAACACAGGTTAATCTCAGGAGAACTTGGCAGTATCACGAAAAGAGGCGGCGGCGAGCTCGAGTAGAGTGGTATGCATGGTATGGTCCCGAACAAGTCTTGTATGTAGATGTCGGTGCTTACATTTCGGAAGACGAGGGAGATGATGACGGAATTTTGGTCGAGGAGGATCCTACTCCGAGTAGCGCCTCAGTTGAGCTTGGGTATAGCATGCTGTTACCTAAGATATCACCATCAGGGCTCACGGTCCTCTGGCATCTCAGCCGATCGACCGCAGAGTGACGCACGGTAAGAGAGGCATGGGATGGTTCAATACAGTACGTTATCCTCGAAATGGATCTGTACGGGCCTGTCTTAATGGTAGTTGCC